GTGGATTGCGTTTAGTCGGAACTCTCCACTATGACCAGTCCGTCTTGGGTGTCCCTGCACGGCATAGCCCACAGCTTCTCTGAGTTACTCAAGCCCCTTCGCCACGACAAGGCAGCAATCCATGAGCAGCAAAACAAACAAACAAAAACCCACTGGGACTCTCCTGTCCTCCTGGGAGGCTCCCCAGAGGCATCTGAGTGTCTGTGGTAGGAGGAAATGGAATGCTGGACTAGATAGGACTTCGGCCAGATCCAGCTGGACTCAAGGAATGGATCTCAGGAGGTGGTTATGCAGATGGGGGCATGGCTGATTATCAGTGCCTGGAGAAAAAGGTGGCTTCCTCTTCAGTCTGACATGGGAGAGAGAACATAGTTTTCCCACGCAGGAATGCAGTCACACAAAATACAGCTCAGCATCTCTGGCCTTCATCATCTTTTATTCAAGGTTTGTGTCTTCCAGTCTGCACTTAATGTACAGAACACCCCCATTGCTATGAAGCTGATGTTGCGGGTAGCTTCTCTTTCACCTCCTATTCATTTAGTTAGGCATGTGTTCTGAGAAAGGGGATTCGCTGCCCTCTTCTTCCCCTTGTACTCTGTAAATGTGAAACTTTGTTCGTCTGACTTCTCTGTCTTCAATTTATTTCACTCTAGTTGCGACAGCGTTCACCCTGGATTTCAACACGGCCCACAGGAAAGTGATTTTATCGGAAAGAAATACCAAAATGGCTGTGTCAGACACCCTCCAACGCTACGTCAATCATCCTCTACGCTTCACCCACTGTTCCCAAGTGGTCTCCTTCCAGTGTTTCAAGAGGGGCATCCATTACTGGGAAGTGGAAATGGAGCACAATAACTTCTGTGGCATTGGCATCTGCTATGGGAGCATGCCTCGGGAGGGGCCAGAAAGCCGCCTGGGACGCAATAGCACTTCATGGTGCATCGAGTGGTTCAACGCCAGGATCTCTGCCTGGCACAACGACGTTGAGAAGCGCCTCCCCAACACAAAGGTGAAGAAAATTGGTGTCCTGCTGAATTACGAGGCTGGGTTTGTGATTTTCTTTGGGGTGGCTGAGAAAATCACTGTGCTCTACAAATATGAGGCACAGTTCACAGAAGCCCTCTATGCTGCGTTCTGGATCTTCTCCAGTGGAACCACCATGTCAATCTGTCCATTAAAGTGAAAGGTTTGGGTTACTGCCCTTTTTCTCATCCTCAAGCTAACTTTTCTTGCCCACCTTATGTTTTAGAGCCCTGTTCTGTCTATAGCAGTCTTGTTGAATTCAAAGTAAAGTAGTATATTTTGGAAGAGCTGGGCTTCCATTAAGCCATGGCCATACATAGTCTATTAATGCTAACAGTTGGCCAAATCTTTGCTGACATGACCTTGAGCAACATGCATTTAGGGAATTTACCTGTGAAGTTGTTGGTGGAACTGCAGGCATCAGGCATATGACTCTTTGCACACACTTAACCCATCCTAGAGAAAAGAGCAAGCGCGAGGGCTTGTCCAGGTAGAAGCTTCTTTGCTTTTGACCTTTGTCCACATCCAGAAATGTAGGGCACACAATTCATGGGGCTTTCTCTTCAGCCACTACTGCCGCTGTCACATAAAGTGTACAGTTCACAGTCCACGGGGGAGAGATGAGGGGATGATCAGTTACTCCCACTTTTTCAGATAGTCTGGAACAGCTGTTGATGCTGGCACAATGAACTACAACAGGCCTGTATCTTCATGAGCGCGAACGGGAGGGCAGTAGCACTTCCCTGATTTTGTACCAAATGCTGTTAATCCTGTTGTTAACAAGCAAAATGTACAGGGACCCCAGAACTGGTTTTTCAGTTTGCAAAGGGAGTTCATGAGTGGCAGACAGGTGTTACAGTTTTTGCCTACTTACAGGTGTATATTTGCATCTACTTATTTAATGGGCTAAGTAATAAACCTGTCACTGTATGCAGTAATCAAAGAAAACAATATGTAAGCATTGTGGAAAAACTCAGAAATAAAAGTGTCAGTATCATACTGCTCTTTCAGAAATCTGTAGTGAACCACATCTGGAACATGGTGTACAATTCTGACAATGAAACATTGTATGTTAAAGCTAGGAAAGGGCCCAAAATAAACCAGGATCTGCAGTAACTCCCATGTGAGGAGGATCTGCAGTAACTCCCATGTGAGGAGAGGCTGAAACATTTAGGGATGGTTGCCTTGTGGGAAAAAAACATGTATGTCTAAAAAAACAACAACAGATGTATTTTGTCCAGTTGGGCTTAATTCCAAATAAGCATGCCTAGGATTTATTGCAACACTAGTTATTTCTAGGAGGGCTCAACTATGATAGCTGTTCTTGCCTTCTCATTTGCTTGATGGCTTTTTAGTACAGTACATGTTTGGTAAGCTCTGAGAAGGCTGGGCTACACAAGGGCTTGAGCCTGCATACCCACACATTCGGTCCATGAAGATGTTTTGTACAGCCTATGCCTGCCTTGGGTAGCTGGCCTAGTTCACAATTCTGTGCATCAACCAGTGGTTAGAAGTATAGGGTCCATATTGGGCATGGGGGGTGCAGTTTTGCTGGTGTTGCTGAAAGAAGTGGGGGGCTTGCTAAAAGGTAATACTTCTGAATTGGTGAGTCTTTTGCCTTTATTGCAGGTGTTACAAACGCCTCCCCTTTTAAAAATGCCTTGAAGGCATTTTGCCTCTTGGACATCTGAAGTGGCATGGAAGTCCCTTTTATGCCCCATGATAACCCCCTCGTGGCTTCTGTCAGTTCTTCAGACTTAAAGAAGCTAGGGACCTGAAGACTTTAAATCATCATGCAAGGACGAGGAAGGCAAGAAAGTAGAAACCTATAAAGTTGAGGTGCTTTTGAAGCAGATCTGTGCAGAAAGAGAGTGGCTTGCACAATACAAGCACCTTAACTCAGTCCATGTGGAAAAACCTTTGTGCACTTGGCTGCTTGGGAGGAAAAGGTTCATTTTGCCCTCTTGATCTTAAAGACACTTAATGGCTTTACAGTATTTCAAATAACAAAGAGACAGTGCATGGAAATAAGGGATGTTCTTGGCTGATTTTTGCTACACAATAGGAGCTTGTCTCCAGTCTTGATTTGAGCTGGTTAGAGACTTCTTATCTAACATGTGACAAGTCTCCAAGTGTAGTATTTGAAATGAAATGCTTGGAAGAAGCATGTGACTTCCAAGAAGCATGAAAAACCATTCAGAGTTCCCAGCTTTAACCTATGCTGTTCTTCCCAGCTGGCGTTTTCATACTTAATGTGTGAACTGTCTGGGTTTTTGTTACCTTTAAAAAAATGAGCAGGAAGCCATGGAAGAACAAGCGGAAGTTGGGAGACTGGGGTTTCATGGGGAGCACTCTTGGCCTTGCACAGGGGCATGGATTTTTCTTTAGAACCTGGCCCAGCGTGGTTCCAAGACTATCTGTATATCCTAAGCCACTGGGGCTGTGCTCTCCTTCCTTTAAACAGAAGCCACAAACTAGAGGTAGAGCTCAGGTCTTACATACTTATAAGTCTTGAGTCGTTTGCTAGTGGATGGTATAACTTGTCTTGCTTTTCTTTAACCAGAACCTGTGGAGTTGGCAAGATAACATGGCCCCAGTTTGCTGTCTTTTACCCAGTTCTCCCATTTCAAGCACCTTGTTTTGTCAAGTGTGAAGGGAGCACATTATGGTAGAAACAAACTGTTGTGGTCACATCTCTGGAGAAAGACTTAGATGCAAATAAGGCATTGGCTATAGCAAGTTGGCTCATGCATTTAAAGTGGAAATCTAGCCATAGGGTTGTTCTGCCCCCCCCTTCCCTTCCTCACCCTGAAGATAAAGAAAGGGACCAATGTTAGGACATAGTCAGGAAAGGGTGGCTCTCCAGAGGATTAAGTTGTGGGTAGCCTTGTATACTGAGTCATCTCTGCTTTTGCACCAAGTAATATTCTTCAAATCTCAGGCCCACATTACAGTGAGACTTGGGGAAATGGGTTCAGCTTATCAAGCTACAACAAGTCACGGCAGGAAAATCGAGAGGCCTTGAGATGGTTCCACAGGTAAATTTAGGAACAGATGTGGGCTAAACTGAAGTCTAAGGTGGTTGTGGGTAAACTATGGAAAAGAGAAACAAAAACAAACAACTCGGTTGGTCCTTCAAGTATATGGGGATGAGAGGATAGCTGGGATGTTTTCCCCCAATACAACAAACTTCACTTTGGTTTTAGGTGTTCAGGGCTTTCATTTCCCCATAACGGGCTTGGCAACATTCATTACAGGATCTGAGGATTTTTTTTCCCCCCTCCATGCTCGTTTCCTTGTGAGGCCCACTACCTATTCAACATTTTTTTTTCCTTGAGGCACTTTCCTCGAAGGGGAGAGTACAGTTCTCTGAATTATCTTCCTACCAATGATCATTTATGTCAACACACTTCTATGTGTGCTTTTTAAGAAATAAAGAACCCACAAGGCACAGTGGATCTAGCCTCCCTTATCCAGTTTGTGTGGGATCTGGGATGTGTTCACTTTAGTGGCTTAGCTGGCATCCACGTGCTCTTAGACTAATCATAATGTATATGTTTGATCAGGACAGACATTTTTCACACTTAATGCCAGAATGGATCTCTCTCAAAAAAAATTTTGATATCTTTTTGGGATCTCAGGAGGATTTTGAAATAACTGGGATTCAATGGGAATCTCAGTCTCGACAGAGATTGCTTCTTCTCTTTGCTGCTTCTGGTCTTTAGCATGGCGCAATATTGTCCAGTGGCTAAAAGTTGATCCTTAGTGATCATTTGAGAGAAATTGTTTAAAGGTACACTATTTTTTCACACAGTGCAAATCAATCTTGCTGGTTGACCAAAAGGAACACTGTTTTTATTTCTTGGGGCAAAGCATGATTGTAGGTGTGATTGACCTAAAGACTTATTAAATCATACTGGTTTTACTGGAAGGAGGGCCATGCTCAAACATCACAGTGTGATCTGGCATTAGGTGTGCGTGTGTGTATAGGTGAAACCTTTTTGCTAAAACAGTGATTTTCTAATGTTGTATTAACACCATTGCAATTATATAGTATGGGAATTAACATTAAGGTTTTGTGAAGCTTTTTTGTATCAAAAATGATCTAAAAACCATCTTGAGATTAGGAAGTTGGTTTGGTGATTGGTTTCAGCTTTTATAGATGTTTGTATTGAAAGGCAAGGCAGAAAAATGACAGTTTGAACTGCTACACATAGTTGCTTCAGTGCGTTATCTTGAAAATGTTATATGCAAGTGTATGAAATAATAAGTTTCTGTGGATAGTTGGCATCTTTGTGGCAAACTGTGCAGAAGAATACTGATCTGTATGCTACCTTAAGGTAGAGACTAGAAACCAATGCCATCAGTTTTGCTGAGAACTTGTCTTAGCCTTACTTTGTAATTATGTTTTTGTCCTCTGAAGATGGTGTCAAATGTAATGTGATAAACCTAATACATTCTAGCCTGGTCTTATAAGTGAATCAAAACTCATTATGTAAAATGTTAATAAAGTTTGATTAAATCAGAGTGATTTTTGTGGAATATGTAAGCATGCTGTTTCTTTATGAGATGAAAGGAGGATTAAATGGAGAATAGTAAGTTTCCTTCCAAGAGAATGTATTTGGCATTTAATTGAACTGAATGAGATCTACGAGAGCACAAAAGCTGAGCAAGTGTAGGCAGAAAGGGAACAATTCTTTAAAAAAAATTCTACTGAAATCAGTGAATTTATCTGTGAAAAAAAATGAGCACAGGATTCTAGTGTACAACTAGAGTGTGACTAGGATGTTTTCGCAATACCACCTATTTGCTAGGACCTGATGTGGACATATACAAGTGTGTGTGGCTGCTGGGTGAATTGTGTTCCTTCTACTTGTTTCTGAATCTTTTCTACCCATCTAACTACCCCAGGGTGGGGTGGGCTGAGCTAATCCTATTATACTATTATTTTTGCCTGACCTGGTTGGTTACTGTGTTTAGAGCAGAGGTCATCAACCCCTGGTCCATGGCCTGAGCTGGACCAGGCCACGGAGACAGACCCCCTGACCTCCCCCGCACACACTCCCCTCCCCACAGCTGCTTTGTGCATGTGTGCCAGCACCAGCGTGAGCGCTCCCCCACCCCTTCACGCATGTGCCTGTGCTAAGGGGTGGGCAGGGGCATGCAGGCACTCCTGTGCATGCGCGAAAGGGTAGAGGAGCGCATGCTCCGCCACTGCTTCATGCATGCGCCCGAGAGTGCACACACACACACCTTCCTCGGAGGCTCAGCCGGACTATGGTCCCAAAAAGGTTGGGGGCTGCTGGTTTAGAGGACTTTTCTTTGGTACCAGCTTGCACCCAGGGTTAGAAACAGGCATTCCGTAAAACATGATTGGAAGCATTTAAGATTCACATTTCCACCTCCCAACCAGCACCACCCCAAGCCCTTCACCCTTTTTCCTCTATGACTTCAATTGAGTGGCTGCGACTTTTCAAGTAATCAATGTGTCACTTAAAAACATGTCACAGTGTGGTCATTGTATGGTTCCCATTCACAGTCCATGTCATTTCGACTTTCATTGGCAGCTATTTTGTCCCATTAAAAAGTTGAAGACAGCAATTTGTGAATCCTGCTCAGCCAAGGAGAACTGTGAAAAAAGGAGTTATTTTAAAAGTCAATTAATTGTGGTCTATTGGAGTCCTCCCCATTCAGTTTTTTCAGGCCCTGTCACAGGCCCGCATCTGTCAGGTCTGTATTTCCCAGGCTGCTATCAGATGCTGTTACATTGTAAATAATGGGGTTAGTCAAGCTCTTTATTGGAGTTTGTGTGGTAGACACATTTGTATATCATTTTACGGTGTAACAATTCCATTTACATAAAATATAGGCAATTATGTGAGCAGACCCAAAAAGCTGTGGGAGGGTGGGAGGATCCTCCATTAAAATAATAAAAGGTAATTGAAAAGAAGGAGATAATTTAGGAGAAAGTGCCAATACTAAAGATACATGGTTCCAAAATTATTCAGGATTATTCAGCCACAGTGTGTGCATGTGCACAACCTTTTTTCAAAAAGGCATATTAAAAATGCTGCAAAAATGTTTCTTCAAAAGTTCACATGCTTTAATTCATACACAGTATATTTCTGGCACATTTTTGTGGCATCTTTTTTAACATACGATTTGCCAATTGTCATATAAAGTATGAAAACTCCTGGTTTGGTATTGGTATATTGTACCCATAGCTACCCTTCCCCCAAAATAAGACCCAGTTAAGTGAAACCCCGACCTCCAACATTGTGCACCAACCAGAAGATGACAAGACTGTATTTGAATAAATGTTGATTGTTGTGCATGGAAAAAAAATGAAACATCTCCTGAAAATAAGCCCTAATGTGTTTTTTGAAACAAAAAAAATATAAGACCCTGTCCTGAAAAGAAAACAATATATTGCTATAACATTATTACACTTAAACTAATGATATATAAACAAAAATGGTCAATTCTTAGCAAGTGTGTTTACACTCAAGTGAATTAAAAAACTGCATGGCAAGTTTGGCTCCACCCTTCTTCTGTTTTAAATTGTTTGTGTGAATAATGGAAATCTATCAGCAGATTAACAACATTTTAATTACACTACATTTATTGATTTAATATAAATTGTTTAAAGCAATTGACTTGTTGACTGCTTCAATGTAAAATGTTTTTGATGCACGAACGCGCTCTGTTTCTACATGATGGGTTCTTCATGCGTACAAGGAATGCATTTCAACTGAGAGCAGAGTTAGTGCCTCTTTATTAGCTGCTAGTTGTGGTTTACATGTTTTCAAAAGGCCTGGTATAATGCTACAGTTTGATTAAAATTTTGTTCATGTGAGAATTTGTTTTTTAATCTGTCGAACTGTTCAATCATAGCATAACACCTAAAACACCTAAAGTGTCTGAGAAGCCTAAAAGCATGGTTTGTTTTCTACTGTTGCTTTTTGTTTGTTTTATGGATTCCTAAAATGTACAAAGTCTAATTTCAAATAGTAATGTGAAACTTTACAATTGACCCTGGTGGGAACTACATAGTTCCATGTGATTGTGCCAAATGCGTACATTTCAATTTAGTTCTCATCTGGTCATTTATAAAAAATACAGATGGATTTGGTTGAATTGGTAAAAGAGCATTACAAGTGTCACTGAACCTTGTCCCATGACATAACTTTTCTGCCTCTTTCTTCATTTATCTAAATTCCCTCCCCTCCCGATTGATTTTCCCAAACAATGGAGAATCGTAGTCGCATTTGAGCAGAGTTGAGAAGCTTGCAGAAGGAAATATGGAGTACTTGAATAAATTGAAGCATGGATGAATAAATAGGCATTCTCCATAATTTTTTGCTTACACAATGCTGGTTAAGTAGAATTTCACTGGTAGCATCTTATGCTCTCCTGGCATTGAACAGGATTTACCCCAATATGTTTAACTTGCCTTAGAAGCAGCTGAAATACCTGAGTGTCACTGCTGTGGCCACGGGCACCCTTGCAGGGCACTGACCAAGGCCTAAATCTTAGCTGGGGAGGGTTTTTTTTACTTACTTATACCTATCCCAGGCAACTGTAGAAGGGCACATATAAGTCTGGCAACTTAACCTCAGACAACTCTGTAGTTAATGTGGAGATGCAGATCAGCTTGAGATTTCTCTTTTCCTGCATGAACATAGTCCTCCAGGAGTTCAGAACAAATGATCAAATTACCCTTTAGTGGTTGAATGATGTTATCTCATTTACAATATAGTAGACATTGGAGTGCTACATCCTTGTAATAGCTAGTTAGAACAATGACTTAGGCAGATGTTCACAAATACTATACCTGATACTATCTAAAACTTCTTAAAATTGTACTTGGCCATCATGGAAATAATCATTTCAACATATCTTTTATGCACACACATGTAAATCATACTACATAAACTTACAATTGTGACCTACTTTCAGAAGGATATGATGTTGGAATGCTATTTTATATAAAAGAAATGTGACACCTGAAACTACCTGGTGCAGATGGTATTGGACTGCAGCTCTCATCATTTCTCACCAATGGCTGTGCTAGCTGGGACTGAGAGGGGCTGCGGGCCACCCACGTTTGAAAAGCCATGCATTGACTATACACAGCATAAATACATAGAAGCAACTAGTTACTCTTGAGTGAGTTACTTGCAGTTAATTCCTTTTTCTATTACTGAAGCTATAAATGCATTACAACTGTAACCATCTATCTGAAATCCTGTTGTGCAGGATTTTAGAGGTGAATTATTTTAAGTTAAGAAATCTCTACAGTATAGGCATTAGGTCCAGCTTAGTATGCACCAGATAATGCCTACAGAAATTTCTTAACCTACAACCATTTGCTTCTAAATGTTATGCCATTTGTGTAATTGTGCATCAGGATTACAGCCACCAATGTACAGCTTTATTCCCTTTGAAACTGACATTTTAACTATAGTTATAAAGGTATGACCTGACTAAATAGCACAGGAGGAATAGCCCAGGTCTCAAATGCTGCTTGGAATTCTGCTGTGACAGGTGAGGTGATGAGGAAGGCAATGGATGAAAATAGTGTTCTTTACTACTGATCTGCAAGCTATGCCATTCAGATTTGCGAGGACAATTAAAAGCAGATATCTCAGTGGAAAGCAGGAAAATCTTAAAATATTGTAACTGTAATAGTAACAAAAGGTACCCCAGTGTGGTGTAGTGGATAGCAATTGACTAGGCCTCAGGGAGACCCACATTCAAGTTCCTACGCAGCTGTGGAAACCCACTCAATGGGATACCACTGGTAAAATTACTCCTTAAAATATCTCATTTACCTTTAGTGGTTCAATAAGGTATCCTCTTACTCTTGCATTTGTGTAATCCTGAATGAAATGACTTTTTCCTAATTCCTCCTTGAAAGCCCTTTATGGTTGCTGTAAATTTTATGTGAGGGACGTGGTGGCGCTGCGGGCTAAACCGCAGAAGCCTGTGCTGTAGGGTCAGAAGACCAGCAGTCATAAGATCGAAGCCACGCGACGGAATAAGCGCCCGTCGCTTGTCCCAGCTCCTGCCAACCTAGCGATTCGAAAGCATGCAAATGCAAGTAGATAAATAGGGACCATCTCGGTGGGAAGGGAACAGCGTTCCATATCTAAGTCGCACTGGCCATGTGACCACGGAAGAATGTCTTTGGACAAAATGCTGGCTCTATGGCTTGGAAACAGGGATGAGCACCGCCCCCTAGAGTCGAACACGACTGGACAAAAATTGTCAAGGGGAACCTTTATCTTTACCTTTTTAAGTTTAAGTTCTTAAATAGCAGCAGGATGGATTGCTCTCCACATATATATATGTGGTGTGCAAATGATGTGTGTGTGTGTGTGTGTGTGTGTGTGTGTGTGTGTGTGTGTGTGTGTGTGTGTGTGTGTAAAGCACAAAAGAGAAATCTCCAGTGCAAAGTACAACCCACAGCTTGTGTTCCTGGATAGATTTATTGTTGCCCACAAGAACCTAAAGGAGAGACTACCAATGCAATTCTATGAATGCTGACGCCAAGAAATAAGTTCTACTGCATCAAATATACCTTACTCCCAGTGAAATGCATATACACAAGTGCTGCCTAAATCAACCTGTATACATTTCTTCACAATAGGTTGGAGGTCAGGAGCATGACTATATATTGCAATAAGGGGTGGGGGAATGAGCTGGGAGGGAATATTGACTAAGAAATGAGTGGATTGTTCTTCAGAATGCAACATTGTCATTGAAATAGTAATGTAATATCCTGATCGCCAAGTAAGCGGCTATAAATGGAAGGATCTTTTTTCAGAGAGAAGAACTCGTTCATAGGAGAAAAGTGCAACCCAAGAGCAGAGTCTTCTATTCATAAGCCTGCAATTTTATAGGGTTGTCCCTATTCACTCAAAAGCTCATTAAAGATTCTTAAAGCTGTTTTCTCTATTGAACAACTTTATGATGGGGTCTTTGTTGCCTGGAGCACTGTTGCTTCGAAAGTAATGTTGAAATGTGCGGCTGCAGAACATGTGTGACCTGTGTAAAAAATTAGCAAGCCTGCATTTCCACCCTTTCCAGTCTTGTGAACAGGAATATCTGCAATCATGAGGTAAATCAACCTGAGAGACACTGACGAGCCCAAGATCAAACTGGATTTCATTAGTGAGTCAGAATTTGAACCAGGTCCCTTGAGTTCTGTAGTTATTATTTTACTTAATCCATTTATTACTTAAATGTATATCTTGATTTTCCTCCAATGCATACCTGGCTCTCCTTTCTCTGTTTTATTGCCATAGCTACCTAATGGAGTAAATTAGATGGAGCAAAAGCAACTGGTCTTAATTTACTTGATGAGTTTTATGGCAGGCTCAGAGACGAATCTGGCTCTCCCACATCCCAGTTCAACATGCCTGTCTGTGCATCTTGTATAGAGTCAGAACTTATGAAAACATGACACATTTGAGACATATAAATTGACTGTTGGAGATGCAACAGTTGCCATTTCCCAGCATTTTCTAAAATCTGCAAAGTGCTTTACATTCTTTATTGTTTACCCCACAACAACTCAACAACAGAGTGGGATCTGTGATGAAAAGAACTAAACGCTGCCCAGACCAGAGTCCCCAACAAAGGTGAGGCTCAAAGCTAAGTCTCCCTGATGCCATCCTGCTTCTATTAATTAGAGCACACTGGCTCTCTTCCTCAGCAAATAGATAAATGTGTTCAGATACTTTCACTGTTCCTCCACTGACAAATCTCAAAATCATCACCGTTATTCTATACCAACAACTGTCCTGAATTCAGTTTACTTGATCATGACAGACAATAAACTCACCACATTTTGTGATCATAAGTTAAACTCACAGGGGTTTGCTCCCCTCTTTCTGGCTGCTTGATAGACAGCACTGAAGTCTTTAAATCTTGGGGCACAGCCCAACCAAGCTTCTCCAAAGTGCTCACTGCCTGTGAAGAGGAAGTCCCCCATTCCTTTCTTCACTTTGCACTGCAGTAAGGTTTTGATGGGACCTTGCCACTCCCCAGATGTTTTTTCTTGCTGAAAGATCTGGTTTTTCTGCCAGTAGACTCGTTGCACGCCAACGTCAACCAGGGAAATGTGATTCTCCAAATCATGAGTCACATTTCGGATGGATCCTCTCACCACTAGATGTAAATGAAATATGCAGAAGTTTAGAAGACAAGCAATTTATCTACCACATAACATTGTATTGCCAGATCCAGTTTCCCAGATCTTGGAAAAGTTGTGGGGTTCTTACAATACACACAATGCACCAGCCAACATAATAGCTGTGCTGACTGGAAGATTCTGGAGCTTGTATTCCAACATTCCCTAACTTCTCCAAACTTTGGAAAAGCTGGAACACACTGGTGTTAAGTGGGAGGTACAATGATCACAGAACGCAGTATCATTTAAATCAGGGGTCCCTAACCAATTGTCTGTGGCCTTGGAAGGACTGGGTCGCCAAGACAGATCTTTGAGGGTCGAAGGAATGCGTGTGTATGCATGCACACATGCACTCCCGCCCGCCAACCCACGCACCTGCCTGCCTGATGCCGCACACACACATGGACGGACATCTGCCCGCATGCATGCATGCACCCCCCCACACGTATGCACAGACACCCACCACCACCCCCAGTCCTTGGGAGAACGGTCTTCAACTAAGCTGGTCCCTGGTGTCAAAAAGGATGGGACCCACTGATTTAAATCTTCCGCTTTTCTGATAACGTCACACATGTTATCAGTAAAAAAAAAATCCTGTTATACTGGATAATTGTAATTTTTTTTTTAAGCAGCTACAAAGATGAATCAGGATAGGGGATACAGGAGGAACAGTTGGCTCTGATGCTGATGTCACAACTTAAACTGATTCCCCAAAAAAGCTACATTTTAATGCCCGTTATATTTCTTCCCTACAAGATAACCCCAGCTTGGGCCAGAGAGATGGGTCTTATCAAATTTCTATTACTTATTGGCTGAAATCCTGTTGTTTAGTGTATTAAATTACACAAAATAGGAGTCAACTCCTCTATAAATTTTAGTGAGTCACAGGGGCCTGCTCCAGTTGTGACTTACTACATCTACTCAACTGTGAGTAAATAAAACTTTTTATTCTTTTTCTTACCAATTCCTCAGAGTGAGTTTTTGAGACTGTAAATGCCAGTTGATGAGAGAAAATGGGTGGTGTACTCTGGGGGGACATGTAGCTTGTTCTGCCCTGTACATCCTTGTACTTGTGCAGTGCAGCTAGAGATTTTTTTATCCAAAATTCAAAATATTTAATTTTTAAATAAAAAAGTATTCCTGTATATTATCTATAAGTATTATTATCTAATTTACTGCCTAAAAGCCTGCCTGAAGAGCAAGGTCTTTGCCTGTTGACAGAAGGACAAGAGGGAGGGGGGAGGTCAACCTGGGAAATAATTTATACCATCTGGGTCTTCAGATGTGGTTGGACTGAAAGTCCCATCAATTTGAGCCACTTTAGCAGTTAGAGCAAGGTTAGTGAGAACTGCAGTCCAACCTTTTCCGGGTATATAAGTTCCTTAGCTATAAAGCACCTAAATTTACAACAGACACATATATAGGTATATAGCTCTCATATAAGTTATTGCAGGAAAGGGAAATAATACTGCTGATTTACACCAATGGATCAACTTTTAGTGCAACCATTTTCACCACTGTCTACACACCTGTTTGCATATTACACTCCAAGTTTTACTTCTAAAAAATCCATTGCTTCTAAGAGAGATAATTTGGTCACGAAAAAGTACTCCACATTAAAACATGTGTCATTTGTAACTGAAAGACAAATCTGCTGAGTAGATTCATGAAAACTACTTATTTACCCATCCCTATTTGTTTCCACTCTATTCCAACAGCAATAATTAGGGAAAATATCCTATGTTGGATAATAAAAAGCTCAGTGTTTTAGGCCCACTTAGTGATAATCAGAGAATATCCATAAAGGGCTTTTATTAGTAAACACCTATCCATTTGATTTTTCAAGAACAAAATAATCTCTTTTAATAATCTGTGAGAGAGTGCTATAGTAATCTGAGAATAATGCCTGCTTGAGGATTTGTCTACACATTGTCAAATACTGTGGGATCAGCTCTGCTTATAAAATGAATGAAACTCAATGACTGATCACATGACTGAAAGGCCAGTATGAATTGTTCTGGCCCTTTTTGTTCCCAATGTGGCTTTCTTCCTCGGCTGAGAGGATGTGTGTGTGTGTCTACTTTTTTCAAATCAGAACAATTTGACCTGGCTTTCCCCCAGGTGATAATTTGATTTGTTCTTTCAATCAATTCGGTAACCTTTATTGGCATAGGAATTGATTTGTTCTTGTAAAGGTGGGAGGGAGGGCTATTTGGGGATGACATTTTGGTCATGTAGGTAGTTGGGACATGATGGGATTGTGGGAATACCTGCCCTTGCATTCTTTCTCCTGGATTTTTCTCTGAATTTTTTAAAATTGACATATATTAGATTAGCAATAGATCACAGTATCACATTATCACCAGTATTATTATAGTAGTTTAGCACTCAATCACTTCTGGAAGAGATTTTTTTTTTGAAAAAGTCACAAACAAAACAGAAACAACCCAGGTGAAATAAAAGATGTTAAAAAGAAGAACTTTGGGATGCTGCCATCTTTTCTGGGACATTGTACAACCCTTTCAAAACCAAGCAGTTTGACCAAAAACCACAAAAAGATCAGCAGAGGCGGAACCAGAGGAAGGAAGGAAGGAAGGCGGGAAGGAAGGAAGCCAGGAAGCCAGGAAGGAAGGAAGGAAGGAAGGAAGGAAGCAAGGAAGGAAGGAAGGGAGGGAGGGAGGGAGGGAGGGGGTTGTGGACTTCAATGTCAATCACATCCCGTTCAATATGAACGGTGAACTCCCCAATCAATCCACAGCCCCTTGTGTGAGCACTGATTGTGGTTTCAAACATAACACATGCTGTGATTCAAATCTCTTCCCTGTGTAGTCATACCCTCAGTAAAGAACAGGAGACCCTAACCCCTGCACATATGGATTCTTCCTGACAATCAACCCTGCATATTTTTTAAAAAATATCACCATTGGCAGAATAAATCAGGGCCAGAAGTGACATACAAGGCTGTTTTTCAATTTACAGTTTTCAAAGGACAATTCCCAATTACAACACCTCCCCGTTCCCTGCCCCCAAACATCATGTAATCAGTTGTGGATTTTTGTTTACAAAATGCATCATCATCTAAATCTTCCCCTTTGGGGATAATTATTCCCACACATATCATGGGCAAAAAGGACTTCCTTCCAAAGATTCTAGGAACTTCCTTGGCTAATCCAATTTCCTGGGGACCCAAGCCTTTTAGCATAACAGATGTCCCCCCCCTTCTCCTCCTCTTTCTCCCCCTCCTCCAGCTTTGTGTTACCATTTTTTTATAAACCTGAGATACAAGTCAAGTCTATGGACAAGCTGTAATGCTCTTGTTTGTCTTGCTCTGCCTTGCTCCCAGGCAGCCCCTGGTCGAGAGACTCAAGACCTCCCTCTTAAGAGCCCATAAAGTCCCAATTCACAGAAAGGGTCATTTACACTTTCATGAGCAGTTATTTTCTCTCTCGTCCAAAAAAAAAGGGGAAAAAAAAGAAAAAGGCCCCCAGCCCTTGATTATAGTGATTAGTGAACTCAGAACAGGGATGTCAAGCCATAAATAGAGTCTGCTCAAAGGGCTGTTTCTTCTGGTCTGTTGGTGCTTTAAGTATAAATGCCCCCCATTGTGTTCCCTTCAGTGCCACATCTGTCAGTTTCCTGCAAGAAGGAGCGTGCCTTGCGTGGGATCCAATAACTTCATCAAGCAAAAAGACTGGGGCTGATTAACTTGGCAAGAAAAGGATAGCAAGGACCAGCCAGCTTGAGCCTGTGGGCTCCATATATACAGCCTCCCTCATGCTGAGGAAGCAGATGCGTAGCAGGTCAGCTTATACATCCTTCTAATCCAGCTGCCTTCAACTCTGACTGCTCCGTGGCTCTCCTGGGTCAGGGCAGAGCCTTCCCCTTATCAGCAGCTACATGACCCTTCTGTGTTTTTAAAGCTTGAAAATGCCTTGGACTCTGTAAGCAAAACACAAATGCATAGAAAATAATACTTTGGGGGAGTATAGTTCCCAGAATCCTGCAGCCAGCAGGGCAAGTGAGTGGATGTTCTGGGAATAGTAGTTCACAAAGAAAGTTTTCCAAGGCTCTGCTCCAGATGTGGTAGACCAGCCATTCTCAAACTTTTTTTCCTTTGACATGTTCATAAACACAATATAAAAGAAATACAGTGGTGCCCCACATAGCAACGTTAATCCATTCCGGATTAATCGTCGCTATGCGAAAACATCGCTAAACGGATCGAAAAAACCGATAGGAACGCATTAAACTTGGTTTAATGCATTCCTATGGGACCCAAACTCACAGTTCAGCGAAGTTCCTCCATAGCGCCGCCATTTTCGTGCCCTCGGTAAGTGAGGGCAGGGTGCGAAAACACTTGCGGTGGCCATTCTGGGCACCCGGTGGCCATTTTGGAACCGCCGATCAGCCGTTTAAAAAAACATCGCAATGCGAAGATCGGTAAGCGAAATGCTTACCGATCATCGCAATGCAATGTTTTACCCATTAAATCATCGCAATGCGATCGCATTAACAATCTAAAAAATTAGATCACTATGTGGATTCGTCGTTAAACGGTGCGCTCGTTAAGTGAGGCACCACTGTATAGGCCGAATCAGGATTGTATTAGTTGCAGAATGACTCTTATAAGAAACCCTTATAAGAAATGACCCTTATAAGAAATGTTTCCAGTCAGTGGCCCCTTCAAATGTGCCAAGCCCCTGCAAGGAGCCATATGCCCCCCCACCCAAGAATGGCTGCAGTAGACTACAACCCACCTGACTTCCAAACTATGTGTCGGGGATCGTTATCAATTGTCTGATTGGGATGTGGGTTTTTTTCCTTCTTGTTTGTTGATTGTATGGTATATTTATATTTTGTAAACAATCCTGAGCAGTGATTTCAACTGCATTCAGCAGTTTATAAGCATATGTGCATAATACACCAAAGCAGGATATTTCACAATGTCAGAATAGCTGTTTACGTTATAAAAGTCAATCAGCAAGGAAGCAATATTTTTGGGCTGCAGTTATATAGGTATTTACCTGGGACTGAGACTCACTTGATACAATGGGACTTCTGCATAAAAATGCATATGATTGTACTGCTAGTACGACTATCCTAGGACTGCCAAGACTTTCAATTAACAATCAGCCTGAAGAAAACACAACTCATGGGCCAGGGCATGGATTCACCTCCTTCTATTACCATCTCCACACAATAATTGGATATTGTTCATGACTTTGTGTACCTTGGCTCAACGATCTCTGACACTCTTTCGCTAGACATCAAGCTGGATAAATGCATTGGCAAAGCAGCTACCATGTTCTCTAAACTCACAAAGAGAGTATGGCTCAGTAAGAAGCTGGCGGCATATACCAAGGTCCAGGTCTATAGAGCCTGTGTCCTGAGCACACTCCTGTACTGCAGTGAGTCCTGGACCCGTTGTGCATGGCAGGAGGGGAAGCTGAACATGTTCCATATATGTTGTCTCTGACGCATTTTTGGTATCACCTGGCAGGACAAAGTTGCAGAGTAGTTCTAGAACGACCTGGAATTTTTAGCATTTATACATTACTGAAACAGCGACGTCTACTTTGGCATGTCGTGAGAATGGCTGATGGTCGGATTTCAAAAGATCTCCTGTATGGAGAATTAGTGCAGGGAAATCGCCCCAGAGAGAGACCACAGCTGCGATACAAGGATATCTGCAAGTGGGATCTGAAGGCCTTAGGAATGGACCTAAGATAGGAAAGCTTGACATCAGAGTGTTCAGCCTGGAGGCAGGCGGTACATCATGGCCTTTCCCAATTTGAAGGGACCCTTGTCCAGCAGGCCGAGGCAAAGAGACAGTCCCAAAACCAGATTGTACTGTATTTGTCTTCACTCTTGAATTGGCCTTCTCAGCCACACTAGATGCTGTTCCAAGTCCTCTATTCAGAGCACATTACCATAGTCTCTTGAGACCAAAGGATGCCTAATCTAAAATCTAATCTAACATCTATCTGGGGCAGTCTGAAGACATTTTACTATTTGGGGTGGTGCAACAAAGGCCATCCTTCCCACTCACATCCAATCAAGGTCCACAGTAACCAAAGCCAATCAGGAAGCAGAAATTCTCACAAGTGCCACTGCTCTAGCAGTTATAATACAGAAATAACAATGTCAGTGACTATTTGCAGCCCTTTTGTGATACTCAAAATCTGCCAAGTGGCTGCATCCCACTGCCTAACAGTATAGCCAGCCAAGAGTATATCAAGTATCTCAAAAACAACATTTAGCCAAGTTACTTACCAAAATCGCTGCTACAAATGGCCATGAGAAGTTCCATGTTATTACAAGGGCGGCACATGGCTGAAGAGTCAAAACACCAGAAAAAAGGAATAAGAACTCTTGAATGTTCAAGTGGACCCCTGAATTGGGCCATGAACACAGAGTTTGGTCCAAGGACCTGAACAGCATCTAGACAAAACTCGGTATGAAGACATGGATCTTAGAGCAGAGCTATTTGCATGACACTTACACTGTTGTAAAATACTTAACATATAGGGGACTTCCCCCTCATTTCATTGAGCTCAATGATGAATAGAGGCCTTTAAATAACAACAGATTTGGACAAAAGGTAGGAAAATGCTAGCAATCTTTGGCATTAACCACAAAATGGGACAAAATCTTCTAGTAAGCCAGTCAATAACAAACGTCTATCATTGCTTGGCTCTTCTCAACTTAAGATCAAATGGGAATGTGTGTTTCCCTGGCCATCTCCACTTATCCATTAACTCCTGAAATTCCCCTTATTTTAGGATGCTATGGATGAAGCCAGGAAAACATCTGAGCATTTAAAATGACCCATTTAAGACAAGGCACCTTTCAAGTGATGAAAACTGCAACATAGATTTCAGGGGGAAAAAATAGATCATAGTATGCTCTCCTCTCAGTCTGCTCAACTTGATTCTGAGTGGCCAAATAGAGGCAGAAATGCCTAAAGGATAATAAGCAGTGAGTTGGGAAGGAGCAAGGAGATCAATCATGAGAGTCACTGTGGTGTTTAACTTGGACGTGGGAGTTTGGGTGTTGAACTGGAACATGAGAAATCCAAGATGAAATCCTCCCTGAGCCATGGAACTCACTTGAGTGACCTTGGGCTGGCCTCTATGTTTTAGCCCTACCTGCTTCACAGGGTTGTTGTTGTGAGAATAAAGTGAGGAGGAGGAGGAGAACAATGTACAACACCTTGGTCTCATAGGAATATTATTAATCAATCAATCAATCAATCAATCACTCAATCACTCACTCACTCACTCAATCACTCACTCACTCACTCACTCACTCACTCACTCACTCACTCACTCAATCAATCAATCAATCAATCACGCACGCACGCACGCACGCACGCACGCACGCACTCACTCACTCACTCACTCACTCACTCACTCACTCACTCACTCACTCACTCACTCACTCACTCCATCCATCCATCCATCCATCCATCCATCCATCCATCCATCCATCCATCCATCCATCCATCCATCCATCCATCCATCCATCCATCCATCTTTTTTTATCGTTTAAACTTTGATATTGCCTGATTGGTGTGAGGCACTGCTCTCGGCGGTTAACAGTCAATTCAAAGCAAATATTACAATATAACAATAAGCAATTAAGACATAACATCATAAGATCAAATCAGCTCAGTAAACAACATAATAAATGAAACAGTCGTTCTCCAGATTTTTTTTGGACTTCTGCTCTAATCATTCCTTATTTCTAACTCCACTTTCTTTTTTTCTTTTCTTTTCTTTTTCGCTTTTCCTTGCACTTTTCCTCTCCTTTTCCTTTTTTCCTGTTTTCAAAGGCAAGGAAGTGAGGGAGCAACAGCAGCACCCAAGAGAGAGCAGCACGCAGCCTGTGCAGTTCCCACCCTTGACCTAGATGGCAAGGGGCCTTGCGATAACTCTTATCACAGATCTCAGCTCCTGGCAACCCAGGCCTTTAGAGTTAAAATTGGCAAAGGGTGAGGACTTTTCGGTCATGGCAAATGCTCTGTGTAATGTGTTGCAAACAGAGCAATGTTATTAATAGTTGCAGAGATTTCTGGGCTCAGAGCATTGAGGGTGATCAAAAGGGCTTTGTCACGGCTTTGTCACCGAGAAGAATCAGGTCTGTTTTCTTCCCTCTCTAGTTTTCATCTTCTTTGTCACTAATAACCTCCCAGGGAAAACAGCTGAAAAGAACATATCTAAGTTCTTCCTGCTGATTTGTTGTCTAGGAACCAGGATCCATAATCCTCCCCAACATGCCTGTTGCCACACCTCCTTCCTCTCAATATTACTTACTGGATTCTGGGAAACAGCTCAGGGCGGCATCATGAGATGGCTCATCAGACACGCTTACTTACAGCTTTAAGGAAAATGACAGATTATTTTCTGTTCTGGAAGGCTAGCTAAGTGGCTTGGATTTTGTTTCAGTCTTAATACAGCTGCTGCCAGTTTTGAGTACAAACTTAATTTTTAAAAAAATACTTTTGAGTCTTTTGCTATCTTAACACTGAGTTTAATGCTGAATTTTGTTTCTTTTAACAAAATTTGGGAAGCCAATATATTAAACAATACTAAAATGAAAATGTGAAAAGATAAATTATTGTGTTAAATCAACAAATACAACACTACATCCTGCCCCAAACTTACGTACCTTCCACAAGCGCCATCTTCTGGAAGTCTGGGCCTGTGGCACTCTGGTTGCTAAGCAACTCATACTGGAAACTGGCCGTCCTGCGGCTGATGTCCCGCTGGGGGCTGGCCTGTAAGAAGAGGGCTACCCGCTGAGGTGTGTGGGTGCTGAAACAGGACACATGGTGCAAGCGGGGTTCCTCAGCATCACTCACCAAAAGATGCAGCTGCCCATCACGCTCCACATAAATGTTGGCCCCCTGAAAGTTACTGGATGGCTTGATGCAGATGGTGGTGTGTTGGGCACTTGAAAGATTAGGCTCCAAGATGACACGGAGGGCTCGAGCTGGATACATCCACTCCAGGAAGCCCTCGGTGCAACGGAGGTGGACCTGCTCCACTGCACGGGAGGAGGGCTCCCAGCTCAAACCACTACAAAACAATGGGATGAATAGCCAGGATCAGTGGGATGTGAAATAATTTAGATAAATAAATAAATAAATAAATAACATATTAGTTGATTTGGATAACTACCCCAAACCATCATTTTCCCAAAGAAATTCTGTATAAAGTTATAATAGGCTTTCTTCTTAAAAGTTCTTAAAATATATACAATAGGAAGAAAGGAGCCCGGATCTTCAATTCTGTTGCCAAATTCGGGTCCTTAAAGAGATCCTGTAATTCTAATTGTATAGAATTGATACCTTCAGCCAAGGGGAACATTTTCCATCACTACGTATACTACGGGAACAACAGAAGCTACAGAATCATTAAACATTTTGGCCACCTAGATGCTGAGAGGCAAAGATGCTAATCTGTTGCAGCAAACAACAAAGTGCCTCGTGTCACCTTAAAGACTAACAAGTTTTATTTGGCGGCTTGTATGGGCTGTAGCTCACTGGCATCTCATGAAAACTTGTGCCGGTACTGACTTACAGCAACCCTAACAGGGATTTCAAAGTAAGTGAGATATTGAAGAAATGGCTTCCACACTTCTACTGAGTTTTTATGGCTGAACAGGGATTCAAACACAAAGACTCTAAAAACCTAGACCACCACTCTATACACTGCCCTGGGTATCCATGAAAGCTTATATTATTCAAATAAAACTTTAATCAGTCTTTAAACTGACACAAGACTCTTCACATCATTCTTACAGAGGAGTTATCTCAGAGTATGGCTCTGACAATCTTATATAAGGCAGACTCCAACAACTCACACAATAGTTATGGATAGCTCCTCCCTCCACCCTGCCCTGCCTGCTGTCACAAACCACTTTTGGAAGGGTTTCCTGGGCTTAGAAAAGGAAGCCTTATCCCTACAGGGAAGAGAGAAAGGGCAGGCTTCACTTTAAAAACTCAAGTCCATTGCTCTCCTGGTTTGTTGGGCCAGTTGCACAGAACTCTCGACTGCAGCTCTGGCTTATTCTACTGTTCTTGCCCAGGCACTTTGCCTATGCTTACATCTTGGCGTAAAGTGATAGCAAAGGGACTACTGTAGAGTGAACAACTAATTTTAATCAGTTTAAACCACCTAGAATAGTTTGTGTAAGGAGACAAGAGTTTATGTTTTTGCTCAATTGAGAATTACTTGTGTCATGGTGGACTGCATACATTCTTCTCATGGCTAGATGACTGCATCCTAAAATAGCTAATGGCATTCTGGTAGCAGAAGCTAAGACGTGGCTGCAAAGTGCTGGCAAAGAGAGCGAAGAGGTGCTAAGCAGCCTTCCTGGACTTCTGCTACTTTCAGTGTGGTGACAGATGAGCACCAGTGCAGAAGAGAGGTTCCATCTGCAGCCCAGCTGGCTTCTGTAGGTTAATTGTTATTCTTAGCCTCAGGCAGCAAAAGACTTTGCGATGGTTACCAGTACGAGAGCTATATATATGGATGTGCACATTGGGCTGAAACTTGTAAATGCAGTATTGAATGGCTGACCAGGGTTTTCAGCATTGGCAAAGCCAGTCACCTGTTTAGGAGCACAGTGACTTAACTGAGCATCTGATAGGTCTGCATGCTAATCCATTTATTTATGGATCTCTGGATTATACCCATAATCACCATGGAGTACCACTGAGACTTACCAAATCAGTCTTAGATTCAAAGGAGAGAAGAAGCTACAGTAAAACCAAGACTGAAAACAAACATCAGATATGCATCTAACATATGTAAGTTCAAACTGACAATATTTTCAGCAGCTATGTTTTATAAAGCAAACCAGAATGAAGCCATTTTATTTAATAAATGAATATGTACAGTGTTGCAGTTCAGACAAACATTTTGCACTTTTCACAGTATTTTGTTATCCATATCTGTACTTCATTCTATTTTGCTAAAATACAAGTATTATACTATAGTTTAAGTTGCTGCATAAACTTTGGGAATTATTGTGGGGGGGATACACCATGTTAAGTCCCATAGATTTCAAGTTTAAAATGGTTTTACTGAAAATAACAGATCATAAAAGTCATTTTCATAGGATTATACAGTGAAGTTTGAATATACATTGATTTAGACATTCCTTTCTTTTTCACAGAAATGGCTGTTATAGATTAACAACAATAATAAAAGGCATCAGGGCTCAATCCATCCACATAACACACTGCTTCCCATGGAGAATTAAGAATTCTTGTACGTACTATTTTCCCCAAGGAAATCTGCTTTCTTTAAAAGACTCAACTAGCAATCTTCTCTTTTTATTATTGCACAGCTTAATGCCAATAGTTTGAATGTAGGTATACAGATCCCCCATGCTGCCACTGCAGAAGGTGAGAACTTGAATTTAAAGGTTCTGTCTATTAAGACAACTGCCCTTCTGATGGTGAGATATAATCTAAAAAAATTTAGAGTGAAATTAGCCATCAGAAATATTCTCTGTAGCATAAAATCCACAACGAGGTCAGAACAATCATATTCATAGGACTAGCAGCAGATTGGTGTGTGTGTGTCATGAAAGAGCAGCAGGTTGTCAGCTGTTAACTTTATTTCTGCATTTATTTTTATTGTCAAAAATAGGGAGAGGAGCTTGTGGGGTTCTCAGCTTCATATCGGCTGGCTTTGGTAGTCCTGTGTGCATCATAATTTCTGAGCTGCCCCGGCTGGAGGTAAGGGCTACTCCCTCTCAGATAGCACAGCATCTTCGGCTGGCCTCACATCACACACCTTATACCGCCAGTTTTTCCAGGGCGCGTAAGTCTTGGCAAGTTCTCCTCCCGATTTAAACTGGAATTGAAATTCGGAGAGAAGGCAGGCCAAGAAGGACAACGAAGCGGCCGGTTTATGAGCCTAGGAAGCTCTTGGCGATTGAGCCAGAAAGCTCCGAGAGCCTTTTTAGACCGACCGACCGACCGACCGACCGACCGACCGACCTACCTACCTACCTACCTACCTACCTACCTACCTGTCTCCCGGCCCAGAATAAGAAACCGGAGGAGGGTTGCCGCGGGCTCCTCCTTCGCGCCGGCTCCCTCCCGGCTCATCCTGGCATCTTCTTTTGCCCTCCTTCCCGCCCTCTCGACTCACCTGCCCTTCCAGCTGCACTCGTCGGCGGCGCACGGCGGCAGGCAGACCAAGAGGAGCCCCACCAGCAGCGGCCGAAGGAGCGCAGCGCGCCTGCTCCGCGCCTCCCGCCTCCGGGCCATCAGGTGGCTTTCTGGGGCCGCTTGGGCGAGACCGAGCCAGCGTGGAGCGAAGACAAGCGGGGGCCCGCCTCCTGCGCGGCGCCTTTTGCAAAATGCGGGAGGGAGGCTTTCCCCCACTTTCCTTTCCTTTCCTTTTTTTTTTTTTGAGCAAGCTTGGATTGAGGTGCAGTCTTCGAAGGTTTGGGGAGGGGAGAGCACCCTCCCCAGCCACCTCCTCGTGCCCTTTTAAAAAGAGAGTAATCTGCGGCTTTGAGGGGACAGATGTCGCCTTATTTCCAGGCACTCCCTCTTTCGTCGCTAGCATCCCAAACACCGCGTCGGGCACAATGGTTGGCCTTTGTTTCGCGCCATTTCC